CTCCCCGGACAAGGTTGCATGCCCTTTTTAGGGTCTCGGTTTGGGTGAGAGCGTCTGCTACCACTGATTCCGAGTTGAGGGTGATAAGGATGCCCACCTTCGTTTTCTTAGATTTGGACATCAGCCACGACGCTCCGATTCGTTTGGGGTAGGGATGGAGCTGTAAGGCTTCTCAAAAGGGTTTCGGTTGTCTGAACCGGAGAATTGAACTTGGGGAAACAATCCCAAATTATAATCCGTTTGGCGCTAATAGCCGCTGATTCTAGTTTGACTACAGTGTCGAATATCCGTCGTTTCCATAGTGCGATCGCCTGGCCTGCAGTAACACATGCTGGGAAGTCATCGTTAAATAACGCTGTCAGGTGACTTAAATCGTTATCTGGTGCCGCGAATTTCCCACGCCTTTCGTGCATAATCGAACCTTGCAGGTCAAGGGCGAATAGAGCCGCTTCTAGCGCTATTTGAGTGCTAGCCCACTCGCTGGTTTCAGACACCTCATGTGGCATGAGGATTTCCCGCATGGGTAAAGTGTCCTCGTCGGAGGACTCAGAGTGCTCAGAATACATAGCTAAAGAGTAGTGGTACTAGTAATATATAAATCGCAATGAAATAAAATAGAATAGAGTTAGTTTAGGGTGATCACAATTAAGGATATATGCAATGATGTCAGGAAAAATACCTATAAAACGTAAAAATGCAAACTTATCGATCCACGACAGATTTTCAACCACGCGTGGTCAAAGTCAGGTCCGTGGTCAGTATCAATATTGCAGGAGCCCAGCCCGTTCTTTAAGAATTCTCGTTAGAAAGCGAAATCGGCCCTTTCAAAGGAACGAAGCATTCTGGAAGAGGGTCTGCAAGTTGGCCAACGGATAATATAATCAAAGGACAGCGGGAGGTGATCGATTTTACCAACGGGACTTGGATAGGAGACCATGTCGATCTGGCGTCTTTCGTTGGTAGTTGTAAGATCAAGCAGGGGGAGACGTTGGCTGACAAGGTATCTCGTAGGAGATACTACGTGCTGGTACCACGAGTGTTCATTGAAGAGGATTATAAGAGCTACACCAAACATTCTATCTCTAGAGTGGAATCTGGGCCAGTCGATACTCGTGGCGTTGAAATCGCCCAGGATAAGGTGTGAGAAAGTACAGGTGGGACGGAGGTTGCAAAGCTGAGTTGGAAGTGATTGACATCCCTCCTGTCTGCCTCATGAAGAGCAATAAATAACCTCCAGGAGGAGTGAATCCCTGCTCGGGAGGACGATGTTGACCCATAGGGTCTTAATCAATCGGACAGTGGGAAGGGAAACACGCAAAGCGGGGAGAGGGAATAATTATGGAAGAGAGCAGCTCCACCCGGTATGGTCACGACTTGAGTCCTGTCTGAACAAGGTGAAACCATCTATCAATTTTTCACCAACTAGCATCTCTTGATTGAGCCACGTTTCAGTTATGGCTATTGAGTGTGGTTTCTTGTCACACGCCAATTGCCGCAGTTCAAGGATTTTACTAGTAATACTGAGGCAGCTGGTTGATACGCCCTTCAGCACCTACTCATCATGTATTTCAGCAGGTCTAGCAGGAGGGGAGGGTTTTGAGGGAGTTCAAACGTGGGGGTGTTTTGGCTTTTTTGCTCCGAGAGGGTCGTGACACCTGTGAGAATATCTTGGACGGTGGTGCCACGTGTTTGGCATGTATGTCGCGTACTGGCGAGATAGACTTACCAGTTTTTTGGGGTTTCGCTCTGTCTGGTGGACAAGAGCGGTCTACAGGGGACAGAAAAGAGGGCTGGCCTGTCTTGTTTTTGTTTCGATCCTGTCTTAGCTTTCGCTCTGGCAGTAACCTGGCGAAGCTGGCCAACAGTATGGCTTTTGGATTAGGGAGATTGTTTCTTTGATTTTTAGTTTTGGAAAAATAAGATTTAGGTTGCGGCTGAGTAGGAGCTGAGGTGACTATCTTGGGTGGTGTATTTCCTAGTATCCCCTTCATCCCAGCTATTGGTCCAATAGTGGGCACCTTGATTGGATATTCGACCTCTTTTTCGAGTGTAGGGTGGTTTGATAGGTGATTTTAACTTGCGGTTTAATAATAATGTGTATATTTCTCGGAGCCCCGTGAAGCATGCATAGGCATGATCAAATGTACAAAATAATCATCCTTAAAGGAGAAGCCCAAAAGGAAAACTTTGAAGGTCGCATTGAACATAATTACAAATGGAACACAAAGTGGACAAGGTATCAGAAAAAAGGTTCGAGATGGCGGAATGCTCCAAAAGGACAAGTCGGTGGAAGTAGGACGAAAAACAAGAAATCGATTAATCGGATGAATGATGAAATAATTGGGAATACGACATTCAGTGAGTAAAATAAGAGGAGGCAGCCTGCAGATCGTTGGACGGGAATGGACAGAAGTGGGGGGCACTCAGAGTGTGCATGATGGGAAAGCAGCCCAGTCATTGTAAAATTTTATTGCACCTTGCTTCTGGTTTTTCAGTTATACTCCGAATAAATTCACCACTGGATATCGTGCCAATCTAACGGAATACGCCCTTTTTTCTTACAGCAGAAGATCTTTGGAAAGGAAGGAAGAAACGCAAAACAGTCTAGGTTGTAACCTAGCTGATGAGGGAGTGGGATGGAAGGAAGCATGCAAGTTATCGTGCCATTTAATCCAAGAAGTTCCGGACAGGCAAGTAGACGACTACTAACTGGTATCTATAAAAGAGTTACCAAATATTGTCACTAGACAGACTATACAATGGCAAAAAAGGCGAACTGAATAAATCCGATCTGTCACTCTGGCATAAAAGCAGATTGGGCATGTAAGAAACGTATTCACCAGAAGAATATTCATTCCACTTATCAGCTATGTAACTTGGCCAGTATATTGAATGGAGAACGGGTGTGAAGGCGAACACGTTTGCGTGGTCAGCATGTTGCTGTTGGAATGGGTTAGTCAAGTGAAAACTGGTACCTTGTTAACAGTGCTACAGATAATGGCACAGAGAACCAATGTATAACGGATGAAGAAACATGTTGCTTAGTGAATATTAGGTCACAATACTTCTAAGGGTATGTAACACAATGAGTTTTGTTCCACAAATCCAGCTTTGAAGCTGAATGCGTGTAATGATGAGAATGGGTTAAGAAAGTGGACAGTGCCATTTGGTTAGCATATATGGTATTGGAGGAATAATTGCTTAAAATGAATGAGATTCAAGAAACATGTCTTTTCGGGAAATAAGGTCATAATTCATGTAAAGTCTGTACGAGAATGAGGTATGTTCCACGTTTCCAGGTTGATACAGACAAGAGGTCATTGAGGGTGGGAGCTAAAACTCGAGACATTGTGAGCGACAAACCTGGTTTCGGCTTCCACCAGAAGAGTGATTCTTCCACTAACCGAGCTTTGAGGCTTGATCAGTGTACTGCGTAGAGGTAGGTTGATTTGAGTACATTCCTGCCTGGTGAGATTGTGCTACAAGGAATAAATACTTCTGATATGGGGGCTCTAATGAAGATTTTATGTACAACGTTTACACGATGTTTGATAAACTAGCCCGTATTCACAAGCTGATGATTCGTCGGGATGGTTGTGCAGTTAAGCAATTTTAGATAGAGAGAGAGAAAAAAAGACGGATGTGATTCTTAAATGCATATGCCGACGTTATTTGGCTTATTTCGGCTGGAAGTTTATTCCAGAGGAGTGAATAACAAAGTAAGAAAAATTTGCATCTGTTGTTTGTCCGAGCATTTGGTAGGGGAGAACGTTAACATTATTACGAATGGGGTATGGTGGGTCGAGCCTAAATCGGATAACATCCACCGAATGAGCTCGCTTATACAGGAGTCCGTACAGAAGAGTGAGGTTAAGCTTTGCTCGGCGTAACCATAAGCGGTCCAGTTTTAATTGGAGACATCGCGCCATATAGTTTAAGTCTGAGGTCCAGCCAAGAATCGGTTTAGTAAATCGTCGCTGGACATTCTCTATGGCTACTCTATCCTGTTTCCTCAAGCTGAAGTATTTCATTGACGAAAACTCTAACAACGGCCTAGTGTGAGATTCATACAAAGTTATAATGCTATCTCGGAGACTGGAGTTCCTGAAGAAAAGACATAATGAGCACCTGGCCTTAGTTACTTGCAGAGCACAATGCTCTGAAAAGTTGAGTGAACATGAGTAGCTGAGTCCAAGGTCACGGACAGATGTAGAATGAACGATAGGAATACCGTTCATGGTCAAAGAACCAGAGGGTATTTGACATCGAAAGAGTAAACCACTTTAATGTCATCGGCAAAAAGGAAGGGGGTTCCATGATGAATGGATTTAGAAATATCATTAATGTACATAAGGAACAATAAGGGTCCAAGTACACTACCTTGAATAACGCCACTGGTGACAGGTTGTGGGTTGGAAGAGGCGTTTTCTACCGAAACCACCTGGGAGCGGTCTGATAGATAGGAAGAAAGCCATGAAAGAAGTGGGTTACCTGTCCCATAAGTTTGGGCTTTGGTAATTAACCGTGAGTGCGAGACTCTGTCAAAAGCTTTAGTCATATCCAGGTATACTACTATACAGGCTTTATTAGAGTCCACAGATTTAGTAAGAAGGTTTAAAAAGTCAAATTGGCACGTTTGACAGGAGCGAAATT